AAGTTGAAACATTTTCATTCGTTTCGTCAAATCTTTTTGGCAAGCAAAATGCTAAGGTACAAACAAGTAGATGATGCGATTTGAGCAACATCATCACACCAAGTTGCAAATTGTTTTAGTTGATAAAAAAGGAGAAGTGAAAACTAACTGAAATGATAATGATCAAGGAAAGGGTAAAGTATAATTTGAAACGATTAGCTTCAAGAAAATGGTACATCATTACTAGCATTTGAGGTCTGAAAATCAGAGGAATTAAACTGGCCAATTGATAACAATAATTTACTGTTACGTTTCTTTTTTACTTCTTTTTTAAACATAAAAGCTTGCAGAATTAAAGGTTACCTTTTTGTTAAACTCAGATGATTTCAATTGATCTGGAATTGATTGAAAACATAAGACAAAAGGACACAAAAAATACAACAAAGTGTACAAGTTAGTGAATCAGCTTTTTCCTGAAAATCAGTTACAGTAGAGTATATTTAGCCTTAAGGAATTTAAGTTAACATGGAATGACACTTAAAAGGAAACATTTTTCTTCTTGTTTGCCTCACTTTTCAACATTCAATAACAGAATCTCTATTGATGCCATTAGATTAATTAATATTAATGAATAGAATTTTTTGTCATCAGAAGAAGAAAAAAAGAAACCAGAAAAGGAAAGAAAAGAGTAAATAAATTAAGTTATCAAGTTGGTTGATTGGTAGTTAGTTTGTATTGTAAAATACACCAGATGGCAATCATTAAGTTGATCAATTGAAATGTTGTGTTTACATTGAACAACTTTGCAAACAAACTTATCAATAATAATAATGATAATAATTATAATAATATGAATAAAAATAATATAAAAATAATCAATTATATTGAATAGGAAATGAAAAGCTAATAATTTGAACAGGGAAAAACATGAATGAAAAAAGAGACTTTTTCTGGTAAAGAATTGGGTTTTTGGTCAATTCAATCATATTACAATGTTATTGAGGACAATAAATGGTTCAAAATTTCAAGTGTCAAAAACTGACAATTTATAAATGCATAGATTTGTTCACCAATCTAATAAACTCTCAATGAAATTCAATCTGTAAGAGGAAAGTTGAGGAAAACACTGAATGCAGCTTTAAATGGGAAAACTCATTTTACTCTAACATTTTAGCTTTTCAGTTCTGGATATGTTTACAAGTTTCATGAATCTTTCACCAGCAAGTCAAACTGCAAGTTCTGATCAATTCAATTTGCAGCTGACAAGCCTTTCCATTGAATCAAATTATATATATATAACATGATATATACAGTTAGATCAACATTTTGTTTATAAATATAAGTTTCTTGGGTGGAGAGAGAAAAGAAATTCTGCCTTTTCCCCTGAAAATAAGCAGTACGATTAAAAGCTGAATCTAGAAAAGGGAAAACAAAATGAAAGGAGGAAAAAAAAGATGCAATGAATCCAGGTCTTCAATTTAAGATAACATCTTGCTTCACTTTTATTTATAATTTGGTATATTGTATATTTATTTTTATATATCTAAACCAACAATTGCCTCTTGATATTTATCTAAATTTTTCACTTGCTGATCAGTAATGTATATATTTAGCTTACAATAGTCGGATGAATTTGAAATCATTTCATTTTAAAAGGCAATCAAAAATTGAAATCATGAAAAGGTTGGTTGCATTTTGTTCATCAAATTATCAAAATGGTACAAATATCAAGCATTATCATTGATATCATTTTGGCAATGCAATGGGATAACATTTAAAGTTGAAATGACCATAAGAAAATTTTGCTTTTATTCAGTTGAAATGAATGGGAAAGATTATCATTTTGAGAGAAGAAGAAGAAAAAAAATTTGTGACTCAGCTTTGATGTGAATGTAAAAAATGTCAAAAAGTCAAATATTATTAAAATAATTTAGAGCTGACTTTTACTGTTACTGAATTTTTACGATTAATGCACTTGCCAAAAAATGATTACATTAACCATAAACCATGTAACCCGTTGTTCAGAGAGACAGGGTTTTGCCAACAATTGAGAAACAGTTTGCAAAATGGAAGCAACGAAAAGATTACAATTCAATCAACTGAGCAATAGACAGTAACTTGGCCTTAGACAATTTTATAACTTTTCACTATTTTAGGTCATCATCAATAAGATGATCAATTTTTGTTTAGATATTAATCATGAAGGTTGTTTACGTTTTTGTTTTTTTGGCTTAATTTCTTCCTATTTCCTCAATGAACTTTATCGACCAATAAAATAAAATCAGATCACAAGATATACAAGTTGATCATTAGTTAACTTTTGATAATTTGGCAGCAAAGTATTGTCGAGTTGACTAGCATATTGAAGAGGGAAAAGGCATTATCAATAAGAGAGTGAATAAAGTAAACCATTGGTACAATAAAAATATATTTTGCAACATATTTCATGATGAATATTTCAATGGGTCATAAATTTTCCATGAGCTTCATTTTTGCATGAGAAAATGTTTAGTTTAAGGTGAAAGAGAAGGAGAAAGAGAAAGAGTTTCAATAGTTAATAACATGGAGCCATTGACTGTTTTTTTTGCTTCTCTCTCTTTGATTTCCATTTGATAGGCAAGCAAAAAATGTATACAAAGTACAATCAATCGATTGTTTGACGTAAAAAAGCAAACAAAATGCAAGTGTTTTTAGTTCGTTCAGTTGATTGAAGACAAAAAACTTGAGTATATATTATTGGTATTAAGTGTTTTTGATCAAACATTAAACGTTTCTGTAACGTCATCTTTTCTTCATCATTATCAACATCATCATGTTTCTTTTCATTTCACATCTTCATCATTCTCTCTGTCTTTTCTTACTTGTTCATTTTCTTCTGAATCATATTTTCTTTTTTTTCTGTCTGATTTTAATTAAACGAGACATGCTGAATTAATGTTGCTAAAATGATAGGCAGAGAGGTAAAAAAATTATACTTCATAATTCATTTAGCTCTTCAAAATTGCTGTTTTTTTTGTTTCAAGAATTAATTTCAATTGTAATCACCAAAGGACAACTTGATCTGGGCTCAAGTTTTTTTACCCAAATTTGCAAACAAAAGGGGAAACATGGCAAGAGATGAACAATTAGTTAATCGATGCATGATTTGTGTGTGTCACTTAATCAACATTACTGTTTGAAATGGGAGTAAAAAGAAATTCAAACTGTATATAACATGGATTCTAAGGTCATCTAGGATTGAACTTTAGTGTTCAATTTATGGAAGTAGATAAAAATCTTGGGTGGATTTTGGCTTAAACTGGGATAAAGGATGCAAAAATAGACGAATTGCAGAAGCAATGTTATTTACTGACCTTTCATAGGGAACATAAAGATGAAGATAAAATGAAGGAAAGATATAAAAATGAGAAAAGATTGCAAGACAGTTTTGAGAGATTGACAATGAATTTGGAAAAAAAAACTGACAATCAACATGGTCTTTATAGTTTGAAATCATTGGAGGGAGAAAAGGATGGATACCATCGGGTGTGGTTCCATTATGTTCTGAAATGGATTCAGTAAATTGTGTTATTCTTGTTCTTTCTGCTTGTCTTTCATTTCCATTGGGATGAAAAAAATATATTTATATAAATATATTCAGTCTGAGGTACAAGTTTAAGGTTAAAGGTTATTGGAGTAATATTTAAACAAGATGGTAAAAAGAGTTACACAGAAAATGAAAATTTGCTTATAAACTGATCAACTGAAAGCTTAGCAATTTCAATGTTCCGGTCAAACCAGATTTGGGTATTTTTCTGGGTTCAGATCAGATTTATTGTTGAGAATGAGTTTTTTTGTAAGAATCAAATTACAAGCAAATTTTGTGCAAATCTGAGAAGTTCAACTAATGAAAAGAGATGAAGAGAGAAAGGAATGGAAAAATGATTGAAAATAATGAAGGGAAGTAGACAGATAAAAACAGAATTTTGTTTCTCTTGGTGTAACCATGCGCATTTATCGTTACAACAGAGCACATAAGGTCACATGACTATGTTTAATCTTGTTTTCAGAATTGTAATATTATTGCAATTTATCAAAAAATAAGTTAACCTAATAAGGCGTCTTTGCAACTATTAAACAATGTAGTTTTAGAGGCAAATAAAAAACAAATATCACCTAAGAAAGGGACATTGTTTTACATTATTAATAGAGAGACTGTTTTACTTATCATTACAGTATCATCATCATCATCATCAAGATTTGAACAAAAAAGAAAAAACAATTACTTCCATTGCTTGGAAATAATGAAGACCATCAGAAAGATGGAGATGAAGATAATGTTGTTGATGATGGCGATGAAAAGTAGTAATGGAAGAGAGTAAAAGAAAGGATAAAGATAGAGAAAGAAAGACGACTATGAGAGTTAAATAGCTGACTAAGTAACGATTCATTATGTTTTAACCAGAACTCAGTTCCATGCGAGTGAATTTCCTTGTAGATTCGTTCCAATTGAGAAAACGGTCGGTGAAGAATATAAAAAAAAGATAGTGAGAATAGACAGAGGAGAGAGAGAAGAGGCAAAGAGTTTGATAGAGATGGAGAAATATAAAAAAGGGGTGGAAAAATATGTCTCCCTTTTCTGTGTTGATCGATATTTGTCCCAAAAAAGGTTCCATTAAAAGTTGGGTCGATATCGAGAAGAAACAAACCAAACCCTATTCTCAGATAGATCAGGATATCCTAAAGAAATGGAGTGGGTGTTAGAGAGTGTACAGGGAGCAGGGAAGACGATGGATGATGATGATAAAGAGGGAAGGACAGGGGAGGAAGGGAGGAAGGGAGAAGGGTGAAAGCCTTAGGTGGCTCTTGCTGTTTCTCAATCTTGCAATGGGATTAATGTTTACATTTCAGTTATGTTAAGTTGTCAATGTTTATGGATTCACAGAACCCTATATGTATTGTATTATATTTCATAAATGAAACTTTTTTATCGATGAACCAATTTTGTGTAATCATTTGTTGGTTAATTAATTGGTGCTTACCATGATTCTGGTGGTGTATGCACTATTGATGGAGATAGCATCTACAGAGGTACGGGCAACCTCTTCCGGAAGTTGCGCATAATTAGGAACAGATGTATATCTTTCTCCACAAATATAACACTGAACCACAGTCATTCGGTTTGTTGTCAAAGTTCCAGTTTTATCGGAACAAATTGCAGTAGCGTTACCCATAGTTTCACAAGCATCAAGGTGACGGACCAAATTATTGTCGAGCATCATTTTCTGTAGAAATAAGAAAAAAAAGGAAAACAAAAAATTAATTTGAATAAATATTGAACTTATTTGCATTTCTCTTTCTCTCTTTAAAATCCATTGTTGTTTCTTCACTCATTGTTATCGCTCTTCATCTTCATCATTCTCATTATTAAATGTCAACGTAATTGAGTCAAGTATTTGGATTGTCTTGTTCAATTGCTAATAATTTGACCTTGAATAGTTGAATGCAATTCTCATTAATAATTAGGAAAAATTGTTTACTATTATTTCATTCAAGTTTTTCAACATTTTAAACAAACAAAAGCCAATGATAAGTCAATGACTTGGGCAAACATTTCATTATTGTAGACGCAATGTTATCTGATGTTATAAGAAGAAAGTTGCCGTTTCAAGTAGCCTTTTATCCCTCATCATCTTAATTATCTTATAATTTCAAATCATCACCATTATTGTTATCATGTTCGCCTTTTGCTTCCTCATCTACTTCACTGGAATGACGTAAATCATGATATTCAATTATAATGGTTAAGTGAGTAGCTCACCTTGACAGAATATGCAAGTGCCAAAGTTACGGCAAGTGGAAGACCTTCAGGGACAGCAACTACAAGAACAGTTACACCGATGATCACAAATTTGACAAAATATTTTAAATGATGGGGTGTTGACCATCTTTCCTTTTTGATTATAAATTTTTTCACTACGAATCGAAAAATTAAGATGAGAACAGTGAATATTGCTACAGCAGAACCTGTTAAGAGAGAAGACAAAAAGGAACCAGAAAAAAAGCCAAATTAATTCAAGTATAAAATGATCGATATCTTCAAGATATAACTAGAGTTGTTGATCATTACAGCTTCATGACTGGATGACAGCAAAAAAAACAGAAATTTCGTGAACCAGACTTGAAGATAATCATCAGTCTAAACTAGATAATACAAAAAGTATAAAGGTAAAGGTGTGTATCAAGACTTGGGTATACTTTATAATGATACAAAAAAGTAACAAAATAAGTATGACAATGATCTGCATGATGATGGATCAACAAAGTCTTTTTCTGTACTGTCATCTTTCAAGGTGAAATGATGGCCTGGACATGAGCTGCATCAACAATCGGCGATTCATTACCTCCATAACCAATTTGAATAGCTAATTTAGTCAGTTTAGCTTGTAAAACGGATTTCTCTTTCCTAGGATTAGAGTCCTCTTCATGTTTTTGTTTATCCGAGTCAACTGGTGCCTCTTCTTTACCGTGAGTATTGGCAGTGATTGCATTCATCGTGTGTGAGTTACCAGCATCTTGATTAGATTCTTCATCTTCAATTAGTTCAATTGATTGCAGTGATTAAGAGAGAAAGAGAAGAAACAAAAAAAATGTTTAAATTGGGTTGGATAAAAATAAGTGATTATAATAAAACTAATGACGATAGAAAGTTTGATAATAAAAATTATGAGAGAAATAAAAAGCCATGGTAGAAACATTAAAGGATGAGATAAAAAAAAAAGGTTTTCAACATGATTAAACTTGAGATCCACAATTATTTCAGATGATTTCAAAAATTATGTGCTTTAAGGTCAAATATCTGGATTGAAAGATCATCATGTCATGTGATCTTGAGATAGAAACAAAGTATTGAGCATATTATCCAGAAAACGAAGAAAGGCAAGAGTGAAAGGTGCAAGTTGAAAAGAAAGATGAAGATGAAAGGATTGCAATGAATGGAGAGAAAAGAAAGAGATAACTGAATGAGAGTTGAAATGAAAGGAAAGTGTTAAAGAAAAGCCATTAGTAAGATGATGATGATGAGAGAATCAGTGAACAATTCAGAATTTTATTCATAGTGATACATGACCCTTGTTTCACTCTTGATTCCTTTATATTTCTTTCAGCTTCTTTCATGTGAATATTTACACTTTGACTCATGCTTCTTCTCTCTACCATTTTTATTATAAATTGAAGCTGTTCCCCTGAAGAGATGAAACTTTTTAAAATCATTAACTTCATATGCATCTGATCTGAATTGTTGATAATGTTCATCTCTCATAAGGGCGAAAGTGTGGTTCATATCCATGATGTATACCAATAACAATACAACCATGTACTTTAATCACTCTTCCATCATCATCTTAGAGAAGGGAGAGAGAGAGAAAGAGAGTAAAGGAATAAATAGATATTAAAAGTAGAGAGAAGAGACATTTTCTAGGTGTGTTCGTAAATATATGTATATATATACATAGATGGTTCACACATGATGGAAAGTTGCCAAAAAAGAGAGGAATCAGAGAGGAAGCCAAGTTAGTATTCTATGTATGCTTCATTTCAGTCCTAATTTTGGATTCATTTAGCCAAGGTGAGACACAATTTTGAGTCAACTTTTGTTTTCTTTGTTTTTACTCTGGTTGCTCTGTTAACAGCAAGATAAGTATACATAGGTATAATCACATGACATGAAGACTTTCAAGTTATTTGTCTGTTGTATGCTGATCAAGAGATGAGGATGATAATGGGAAAGGAAAAAAATAACAACAATAAAGAGGTAATTAATATAAAGGAATAAGTAAGGAAAAAATAAATAATCAAAAAAAAAGTGTTTCGTTAACGTTTTCATTTTACCATATATATCTTTGTAGACACTAGGTTGATTTAAAGGGATCAATTCCGGGCTGAGATCGTTTTTGGAGCATGCACTGTTCCTGGCTGAACATTTTTGTGTTTTTTGGTTACATGTGTTAACATGGACCGAATGAGCAGTTATTTTAAGTGCAGGGTTTTTTATGTATATTTATGTGTGTAGGTTGGGTTACCAGCAATGTTTTTTTTCATCCAGAGCGAAGTTAAATTGGCAACATTTCGTAAAATCAACAAAAAAAAAGAAAGAGAAATTCAAGCAATTAAAATATCATTAGAATATAGAAAATATATAGAATTGAATTAAAATGAAATAAAAATGGTTAAGTAAAATAAAAAACATAAAATGGACGCAAAAAGGTATCGTTAAACAAATGGTCAATGATAAAAAATATATAAACAAAATAACATTGAAAAAATACATGAAAGGACAATTAATCAATAGTAAAAATGAAGCAGGCAAAAAAAGGTAAAGGAGGGAAATATGATTGCGTGAGATTCATGGACAGAGAGGGGTGAAGACAGTTTAGGATAAGACATGCTTCGTTTGGTTGGTCAGAAGCTCAGTTTTGAAGGAGGTTTGGTGGTCACGAACAGGAATTCAATATTTACAGGGGAAAAAGGCTTAAGTTTTGACTAAAAAAAAGTTCTCATTTTCTTTGGCTTTTTTTCACCTTATATTATCTCCTTACGAAATATGATTAATATGAAATATGAATTTAAATCGAGAGATTATCATTTTCAGCACGAGTAATGTACTATTAATAAAACTATTATTATAAAACGGTAAGAATTGCCAATGCTCTTGAGCAAGTTCATGAGGAAATTGATTTCTGGTAAAAGAGATGAACGTAAATATATATCAGCAAACTGGTTGATAAAAGCATGAAAGCTGAGCTGGTTTTGTTTAAAGAGGAAAGTTGCGAAAGGAATAGAAACTCAAGTGATGACAATAAGAATTTGGGTGAAATTGAAACCAAGCAATGGAGCCAGAAAACTAAAGACTAAAAGACAAAAAAACTGAAAGCATTTTAATAGGTGAGGAACAATTTTTAAAGATTGAAACTTTCAGCTGATTAATGATTGAAAATGAAAAGAAAATTTCAATTGAAACAAGTACAAAAGACTATCAATTAAAATACATTTGGTGAGCTTCGGTGAATATAAAGTGAATAGCGGTTTGTATTTCTCAAGCTGAACAGAATTGTTTGATTAATTGGAGCTAAATTGATTTTCTAGTGTATAATCACTTTATACGGTGTGTTTGTTTTTCTTTGGGTGCTTGGCTGTTGTATGATTGATGAAATTGAAGAGATAAGTCCATCATCGCCAACGAAATGGTAAATATATGAAAATGCAAAAACAAATGCATTTGGGTCACAGACTGAAAGATATGTATGCTAACAAGCAAAAGTTAGTTAATGTGGGTAAGTTAGCTGAGACAATAGGAATTGGTGCAAGATGCTAATCTAATTAACTTTGATCAAAATTAAAAGCCATGCAATTAGTAGAGATGTAAAGGAGCGCAAAGGAGACAAGTGTGAGGCAAATGGATGTTATTTGGAGAGAGAGAGAAAGAAATTAGGAGCAAAGGGAGAGGAAATCGACAAACAATGACAAATAGACAGTGACGAAGACGATAAACAGTAGACAGTAGACAGAGACGAAGACATAGATAAATAGACACTCATTATTGTTTATAATCACCTGGGAGGCTTGCTTTCTTCTTTTCTTTTCTTGCTTCTTTTTCACCAAAGAGCAAGAGGAATGAGGAAGCGAAAGACAAGCATTTCATTTTTTTTCATTATTTCATGGTGTCAATGAATAAATAACCAATGAAAATGGTGTTAATATCATACATGAAAAGAGAGAAGAGAAGGGAAAGAGAAAAATTGATGTCTTGTTAATATTTTTGGTTGCAATTGAATTAATCATTTCAGGTTTGGTTTTTTTTATTGTTAGTCGTTTAATGACGATTGGAAAAGTATCTGAAAAATGTAAACTAAGTATATGCATTTACCAATCAAATTTAAATTATGTTGTTTACAGTGAATGTAGTTAAGGTAATGGCTAAGAGGAAAATTAAAAAGGTCAATCAATCGATTGAGTTTCAAAATTAACCAACTAGTACAACTAGTCTGTGTAATACAAGGTTGGTTACAAAATTATTTTAGTATCAAATTAGAAAGTTGAATTAGTATCTGATCCTGAGGCAATGTTGCTTTTTTATTATGGACTTCATCTTTTTCATTCAATGAAATCAACTGTGAAACTTTTTTTCATTACAATGTCTAATAATCTATTGGTTAAGTAAACCTTTTCTTCAGTCAACTAACACTCAATTTCATCAATATAAATGGATATATCTATGACAACCCAGAGTGAAATGGTCATTTGATACTCTGATAAAAGTAGAAAGTGTTTGAACTGGTGAGACAGAGAGAGAGAGAGAGTTTTATATATTTAGAATGATTGATGTACCAATGGTATCATTAACAAAGAGGATAAAATTAAAGTATAATTAAACTAATGATAATTATAACTGTAATTGAAATTGAAGTTTACACAAGAAAGGGAAGAAAAATCCAACGAAAATATACCTTTTTTCCTTTTCTTCTTTTGAGCGTCATCCTCAGATTGTGCAGCACCCAATAAAGCAAATATTATACCGGCCTGAGAATTAATACCGACAGCGGTCACAACCATTCGGCCGCTACCTTCCATAACATGTGTACCTGTGTTGAATAACGGGGAAAAAATGAAGAGAATATGAGAAAACATGGAAACCGGCTCAATTGATATGTGAATAAGAGATTGAGCAGAAGTAGAGTAGACGGTAAAAAACTGGTTTTCTGGGTTTCCTATCAGTCCGTAAGTAGAGGAAGGTTCAAGTCAACCAATTGAAAGGCAAATAAATGTTATTTTCAAATGTTTTTGCGGGAAGCAATGCTAAACAATGGGACAAAAATGAATCTAAAATGAAAAATATTGGCTCTAAAGCGCTTAATGTAGCTGAAGTTCAGTTGAATTTTTTTCTTCTTCATTCCTGGTAATAGTGTAAATTTATAGATCATTAATATTTTTATTATCGTTTTGAATTTGATTTGACTATTTAAAACAAATTAACCAAGTATGGGGAGACAATATTTTTTAATGAAAAATCAAATAACGAGGAAATGTAAAGATTAAAATTTTTCACTCAGACATTAAAAATTAGATCTGGTTTGTTGCTAATCAGCGAGTGTATATTGTCTGAATGACTATCAATTAGTTTTGTCACCAGTTTATATCAAGTTTACAAAGAAAAGCGAAAAATATTGTTTCATAAATTTGATAAATACACAGATTTCATTTCTGGTTGGCTGTTGATTGCCAGTTGATTTAATTGATCCAATTCTTAGACTGTGGAATCAATGTTGAGCTATTCTTAGCTGCAAACGACTGATGTTAAAATAAGAAAGGAACGAGAAAAGTATTCTCGATGTTACATTTGAAGACACCAAGAATTTGAAAATTGTGAATCTTTTCTGTTCTTCATGATATGAATCAATTAAATTGGGGGAAAGTTAGTTGCTTTTACTCTGAAAGGGTTATGAGTAAAGTCGAAGTATTGCTGATAGAATTGATTTCCTTGAAGATTGGAAGCAGTTCAGATCTTAACGATGTTCAAATTAAATTTGTTGTTATCATTGTGACTGGTTGATGAAGATTTTAAATGGATTTTGGATTTATGGCAAAGAAGAAGAAAAAAGTTTAAGTAAAACTGAAGATTCATGAGATAAGATAAATGAAATGTGAGGAAGAAAAAATTTGAGAGAGTAAACAATTTGGAATACAATGAAATCTTTTGCTCAATATTGTGTATTTTTGCTTCACTCTGTCTTTCACTCTGTTATCCATCCCATTGCTTTGACATGTCAAGTTTTAGGTATCAGATTAGGAACTATTTTTATGCGCGATTGTACTCTTTTACCATTAATTGATTGGTTGGACAAGAAGAGGAAGAAACTGAATCATGTTAATAATTTCAATTTGTTTTCTAAATTCAGTAAAGTCAAGTACATTTATCAGAAATAATGGTATTTCAATCAATTACTGTTAATGATAAATCAAAGATTATGTTTCTTTTTTTTCTTCATCTGTACAATGAAGATGCGCATTAGGATCATAAAAAGCTTCAACTTAATTTTCAAGGCTTTATATTGTTATTTTGTCAATAAAGCTCATTGTGATAGTTGTCATCTGCTAAAAGTTAATTAAGTTAAAAATAGAATAAAGAAGTGGAAAGAAAGTGCGGCTCTAGGATCGATATGAGATTAACACAGTAAGCGATTGAAAAAAGGAAAAAAAAGCTACAGCTACAGTCGAAGAAAATGAGTTTTAATCTCTTCTTCTTTTTATTAGAAAAACTTTGCGCATCATGGAATACTAAATTCATTCTCAGGAGATTCAAGATATGTTTTGATTCAATAAATATAGCATGATTTAAAAATATTAATTGCAAATGTACTGAAAGATCATTTCATACTGGTAAGTAAAAGGTTTTCAAATGTTCAGATTACTCTTGCATGAATCCACTAATGTTACGATTTTATCAATAATCACATAAATGTGATTGATTTGCGATTTTTTAAAACTCCAATCAAGATGAAAAAGGTTTAATTTCAACTGGAGTCATCGAAAGAATCTAGTTAATCGAAAGAAATCTAAATATCTATAAATTATTCAGAAGGTGGAAATGAAGAAAACTAACGAGATTCGGAATGAGGGGTTCGTCTTGGAATGGTGAATGGAAAAATGAAATGAATTAACATCTCACCTGAGAGGAGAAGTGGATTAATATTTTCTCCTTTCTTTACATGGTCAGATTCTCCTGTTAAGGAGGATTCGTCTATCTTTAAATCATTGCTTTGAATAAGTACTCCATCGGCGGGAAGAAGATCACCTAAAGTTGAATAAAATAAGATGAGATGAGAAAATCACGATAAATTAAGCTGGTGAAGAAGGGAGATAAGCTAGAAATTTTAGCTTATGTCACACTGAGAAGGTAAATGTTGAATATTTAAGGTGAATTAAAATGCAGAGAGAAATGGGGAGAAAGAAATCCAGAATATCTTTACCATATTTAACTTGACAAATATCACCCACCACAATTTCATTAACAAGAATCTGAATAACTTCACCACCTCTGATCACAGAGAATTTATGTTCGTGTTCAATGCGATTCTGTAAGCCACGGAATTGTCGTTCCTTGGTATAATCATTAAAGGCAGTAACAAGAACAACAATGAACACACTGACTAGTATGGCAGCTCCTTCGATCCAACCGGCCTCTGATTCTTCCTCAAGGGCACCTCCGGCTGTTTCCTCGTCCTCGGGTGGAGAATAAAGTGATAACAGAAGTGAAATAACAGCGGCAACTTCTAAAATGATTAATGTTACATCTTGTAGCGCTTCAAAAACTAATTGTAGAAATGTTTTAGGTGGTTTAGGAGGAATAACATTAGAACCGAAAACGGCTTTCCTTTCCTCTAAATCTTTGGGTGAACCACTGAGGCCTTCATTTGGCGAGGTATGAAGTCCGTGACACAACCCTTGGATTCCGCCAAAATCTTTTTGAATCTTTGCTACAGCTTCTGGCCCTCGACAGTCCATTAGTTCACGAAGCTGACTAAGTGTAACACCATAATTCCGAGTCTCCATTTTTGGTTTTTTGATGGATTGGATTGATGTCAATTATCAGTCGATGATGATCAAATTCAATAACAATTTAGATGAAACGATGAGCATTAACAATGTATTCATTGAAAATTAAACACAATTAAGGATTAGAATAGTAAAAAGAGATTTTAACCGGATAGCTTGAGAACCGGACTCGGTTCCAAACAAAGAGTAAACTGGAAGAGAGAGCATTTGATTGAAGATGAAAACAGTTATGGCTTATTACCACAAGCTTCTCCTGTGGCTGATCCTATTTTACGTTTCTCCACTAAATAATTAAACAATATTACATGAAAACAAGTAAAAATATCAAAGATTAACTGAAAAAAAAATTAAATTAATGGATTAGGTAATTGATTTATTGTAAAAAGAAAGAGAAAATTACTTCTACCGTAGCTTGTAGTCAATTTATGTTTCATCTTCTGTTCATTTCTCAATATTGAATCTCTTACTTTTACTCAGCGCTTTCAAACTCATTTGTGTTATCTAGACTTATCTTCACAGCCAATCAGAATCATTTTGTATGCTGCCATCATGCGGTTGAAAGACGACAGTTTATTGTCAACGATTGATACAGTTATTTAATTACTCAGTATTCATTTAATTAGATGATTCAAGATTATTTCTTTTGATAAAGAATAGGCTGAACACTTGAAAATCAGATTTTTCAATTCGCTCTCTAATTTTATTCCATTTGTTTAATGAGAACCAATTTTTGGTTACAGACAACAAATTGGTTAAAAATCACATAATCCAATTCTTTAAGATATTATTAGATGGCAGCACGTTTTTAATCTGTGATGTTATTATTTTTTACTGGTTTCTGGATAACTTTTGAATTGATAACTTGGCGGTAAACCATGCAGGGCACGCAACATCGACCTGAACAAATCTCCCAACAACAGGAGGAGGAGGAAGACGACTCTGAATTAGGTTTCCATAAGGTCAATAAATTACAGGTAAGTCGATGAAAAAATTAATTTCTTCCTTATGTGTCTTGCATGCTCCATGCTTTGTCTTGTGTTTTAGCGGTAATCTGTTTTTTTCTTTTCGCAGGGAAATGGAATCACTCCTGGTGATATTAAAAAATTAATTGAAGCGGGTTTCGCTACTGTCGAGTCGATTGCATTTGCTGCTAAAAAAAATCTCATAACTGTCAGAGGTATCAGTGAAACTAAGGCTGATAGGCTGTTGGTAAGTTTTAGCCTGATTGCGTCACTTTTGTTCTACAACGGCTCTTCTTTTTCTTTTAGGCTGATGCTCAAAAAGTAGTTCCAATTGGTTTTACTACGGCCAAGGAATTTCACAAAAGAAGATCAGATATTATTACAATTACCACTGGCTCTAAGGAATTGGACAAATTATTAGGAGGTATTTTAAATATTATTTTATAATTTTTCGCTAGATTTATGATTCTAATGTATGTTCTTTGTATAGGTGGGTTTGAAACTGGTGCCATTACAGAGCTATTCGGAGAGTTTAGAACAGGAAAATCCCAAATATGTCACGCGTTAGCTGTTACATGCCAGTTGCCGATAGAAATGGGTGGTGCGGAAGGAAAAGCAATGTACATAGATACTGAGGGTACTTTCAGACCTGAAAGACTTCTTGATTGTGCCGCTCGATACAAATTAGAAGGAGGTGATGTGCTTGATAATGTTGCTTATGCTCGAGCATATAATACTGATCATCAAATGCAACTAGCCATTCAAGCAGCTGTGATGATGTCTGAGTCAAGGTAATTTTGGCGGCAATTTTCTTGTGTTTATTGTTTTATTGGGTGATAATTTTCTTATCAAGATTTTCTAATCTATCTGAATTTATATTTACAGATATGCTCTTCTAATAGTCGACAGTGCCACGGCACTATACAGAACTGATTATTCTGGAAGAGGTGAATTAGCTGCTAGACAAATGCATATGGCTAAATTTTTGCGACTACTTCAGAGATTAGCAGATGAATTTGGTATAGCGGTAGTCATTACTAATCAAGTCGTTGCTTCTGTTGATGGTGGGGCGGGAATGTTTTGTGCTGATCCCAAAAAGCCAATCGGTGGTAATATTATAGCTCATGCTTCGACAACTCGTTTATATCTTCGTAAGGGACGTGGTGACTCTCGAATATGTAAAATTTATGATTCTCCCTGTCTTCCAGAATCTGAAGCCACTTTCGCCATTACTGCTGAGGGGATTGAAGACACTAAAGAAAATGATTAATTTGTTTTTCTATCAAAAATCAGTTTAATCAAGTCATTGCTTAACATTGTTCACAATGCTGTTTAGATGTTGCACATTTTTTAAAAAATTTTCTTCTCCGTGACATTGTACCTTTCATCATGGTTAAGGTGGTATTTAAACTTCTCTTATAATATTTCTCCAACGCACGTTTTCTAAACATCCTGATCAAATAATTGTTTTAGTCAACCAGGCTAATTTAATCCGGAGATTACATTCCTTCTATCAATTCCGGCGATAGGGCAATTTTCAAATTTTGTAAATCTCGTTCCAGACTACTTGTCAATTCAAATGGTTATAAAGGAAAAGTTATATTTTATATTGACGTAGCACCGAATCAATAAACGATAAATCTCTTTTTTATAAAAGAAATGTCCAATTATTTATTTACATTCATGATTAAATCAGTGGACAAAACATTGTATTGAATGGAAACAAATCAGAGAACTGAAAACCAAGCAAATACCCTGAAAGGGTTTCACATTAGCATCTAATAGCAAATTCTGATTTTTTCATTTCATTTAACTCAATTGAGCTTGTTTCTGAGAAATTAGTTCTCTTATACTGTCTTCCTTTTCTTTCAAGCCTTTTTCTAAATAGACTTTACTCTTTTCCAGTTCTTGGCATTTTTCAGCGTTGGTTTTAATGGCTTCATTCAAATCCACTTCAATCTCATCCCTTTTAGCTTTAACAAACATACGGCCAATAGATTGGTACGTGGTGATGGATTCGGGTAGGTTCTTTACTTCCGTCAATGTTAACCGATAACGTTGACTACTACGACTGAGAATGTCAATGGTACCATCGATTTGTCTCATTTTACTTCGCGTTTCACCAACTTTAATTTGTAATTCTTTGAACTGCTTTTTAAGCTCAAGGTCCACATTTGCTATTGACAAAACAAAAACAGTTTTAAAATAAGATTCCTTCTATAATAATTAATTTAAACAAGATTTACTGATTAACTTACCCATTTTAATTGAGATTAGTCCACTTGTAGCAATAAAAAAAACTAATTTAACGGAATATTGATGAGTAAATTGAGATTAGTGAAAAGCCTCACCTATTAAACATCTGAAAAAGACACATGGTTGTCAAGTTAACAAAGCACAAGATCAGCTTTTAGACCTGAATCATATGTTGCTTTTATGCTTGCTTTTCAAATTTTTTATTTTCTATTTTATGCATGATTATCTCGAATTATTTTAATAATTTTTTATGAATATAAATTTCAATAAATAATGTGTTGGCAATTCTTTAGATCGATGGTTTGTTAGTTAAAAATTCATCTATATAAGTCAATGTGTTGACTATGTGTTTAATATTGATGAATGTAAATTGGTTGTTTGATTGTTTTAAAACGATAATATTACATGTTTGAAATGAAGGTTAGCATTTTGATGTTATTATTCGAATAGGTATTAACAATGAACTGGTGAACGAGATGAAAATAATTTATGATGAACCATCTTGGTCAGTTTTCCTTAACTCTTCAGTCAAATTTATCAGCTCCTGAGGTTTGATTGTTAAATCATCAATACCAGTGCAAGGGCGACACATACAATCAACTGGAGCTTTGGTGGCGATCTGTCAACAATTAGATCAAAATTTGAGACAATCAAAGTAAGTTGAACATTGAAATGATTAGATTCAATCCTAACAAGTACAAATTTAGTGATTTGATGAGGTAGTAATGAATTCAATGATTTACCTTTCTAAATTTAGGTGTCTTCTTCGGACAGAATATGCCAACGGTCGCCTCTCTTTCACCCATTTCTTGACAACACATACACGATCTTTCAACTTGCCAAAACTTGGATCCTGAAACCTTGATTAGACAAATAATCAAAATTGACTCTTCTATCCATAAAAATATTAATAGTCTTTTACCTGAACATAAGATGAACAAGATCCATGGCAAGCAAATGACGGAATTGGCTTGGATAAACAACCAGGATGACTTAACACATGAATAACTGGTCTTAAATGGCATCCTTTTGACCCATCCAAGACGGGAATTAAAATTGAAACAACTATGATTGAAATAAGAAAATTATACACTTGAATTAAATCCATTGATTTACTCTAAACTTGTCAAAAAGACAACCAAAGAGAACAGTGTTAACACTGACCAAAAATCAAACTGAATGAAATAATTGAGAATATATTTTGGATATAATCAATTATTGTTTCATCAACTCTTCTGACTTATTGAAGTTCAATTCACAGACTGACCTTGTTTGATTGGCCATGAAATTTTGTCACATTAAACCAATGAGAAAATTATATCCCGTCGAGAATATAAACAGTGTAAATCACTCGGAATGGAGTTCACTGTATCAGTTGGACTCCATATGATAATGTATTTGAAAATACTATGTAGAGCTTACTTCTGAACATTTATACATTTCTATGTAATCAAGACCCTGACAGTGAAAAAACGATTAAACCTCAAGCTGATTACTTCGATTAAATGTTAAATCCGAGAAAAAGTTCATTGAGCTCGAGTTTAACTCAAGATTTACTGGCAATTCCCAATCAAGTCATTGTTACACTTTTTCAGGTCCAAGTTCACATGTCAGGTTATAATACAATTTCAAGTTCATGGTAATTTAGCTTTAATCGATTAAATTATACAAACAATTTTATACAAAATATCGATAACTTGAGTTTATTTTCTAAGCATATTAATCACTCATTTACTTTGATAATTTGCTCTATTTTACAGCTATAGTTTGTGATGTACATAATTGTGGTTTAGAGCTTTCATTGTTGAAGTTAATTGCTGGAATAAAAATTTCCAAAGCAATATCACTGTGTGAAGAAACAATTAAAAGATTGACAAGATAGATTTGTGTTTTGCTCCGAGAGTTCCATATTTTTGTTCCCGTTAACTTTTGTTCATAGATTCTAGAGTCGTACTTGTGTTCATCCAAGTGAGGTGAGAAGGTTTAATAAATTTTAAATTAAAATATTGTGACATGGACAAGGTATTGAGATGATTGACCTGATATGATCATACAGATAATTGATACTCTTATGAAGAGATTCCTGAGAATAATTTTAATAGCTGATTGACTTTGTTTAAAATATTAAAATATTTATCCATTTCAATCAAGATCAATTGAGTCTAGCCGATTTGACAATTTCGATAGCCTATTAAGAAAAAAAGATTTGATTAAAATTGCGAAAAAATGATTCAGATATATTTTCATTCTTACTGGTTGAATAAAATTTTTGAGTGCAGCATAAGCTTCGTCAAGGTCTTCATTGATTATAATCAAGTCAAAATAATTTTCGATTCCTTCCATACACAGATCTTCTTTGGCTCTTTTCAAGCGCCTGTCGATATTTTCGATTGATTCGGTACCTCGGGCCCGCAATCTTTGTTCAAGAACTTCAAGACTTGGTGGTTTGACAAACACGAAAAGTGGCTTGAGATTCGATTTTTTCATATTCTTTACACCTTCGATTTCCAAATCTAGAACACAGATTTTACCACCTTTTTGGACTTGTTCCATAGCTTTTTTGCTGTAAAATCATAGATGAGTAACATATTCATTCATGATTAATCTAGTGACTAAACTTATTTACCTCGTTCCATAGAGATTGCCAGAAAATTCAGTAAACTCGATAAATTCGCCATCTTTGATTGCTTTTTCCATTGACTCTCGTTCAGTGAAATGGTATTCTGTTTGCAAAAGAGTTTAAGATTAGTGAAAAATTTATATTTGAACACCATGAGAATAATTTCAGCTGTAATATAATATCTATCAGTCTGATAAATAATCTTTAGTAATTCAAATGATAAATTACGAGACTCATTTGAAATAAACAGCAACTGAATGAATAAGACGTTGAACGACCTATTCTAAAGCCAGCTTTGTCTGCTTAAATATAAAAAAAGCTTGTCTGAGCGTATCAGGAAAAATTATCCAGAGCTTTAAACTCTAAAGTTTAGAGATGATGTAAAGACTTTTTTAAGATCGTGAATAACACACTATAATCAAAATCACGATTATTCTTGATATATTGAAAAACCATGAGGAAAAATAAAACATGTGGCAAAAAGTTCAGTAATAGCTGTCGCTGCTGTCTGTTGATAACAATAATGACTATTTAATAAATGAATCCATGTGATTACCTCTGCCATCAATCTCTCCTTCACGAGGCTTTCTTGTTGTATCTGGAGGGAAACAATAAAATAAAAACATGAAAAACTGCAACACAGATTACTAATTAAAGTAGGGAAAACGGGATGAGTTTATATTAAATAATTCAAATACTTACGAGAAACTGTGAACCCAAGATATTCTTTGTAGTCATTGATTAGAAGACGAAGAAGGGTACTTTTTCCAGAACCAGAAGGACCACAGATAACAATTGGTCTTATGATCGGATCAATTGAATCACCATGTATAGATGAATTACTTTGAATCGTGTCTGTAGTCATATCGTCGGAGTGACACAACCAGAAAAACGAACAGATCTATTGATAAAGTGTTCAATTGAAATGAGCAGCTTCCTCAATCAATTGTGGTTGAACTGGAGGTTACAATTGCCAATGATAATTCAATAAATAAACGTCGATTCCAATGTTTTTTGTTAACTATCTTTCTTTCATCTCCATTTGGCTATACGTTGATGTGTTCTTAGTAATGGTGGAGTTTATTATGATGATGATGTTGATGATGATGATAGTAATAGTGATGATTGAATGCACAAAGGTTTACTTTGGATATGGCTGTTTTTGCAGGGCTTAAAAAAGAGAAAAAAGAAATAGAGAGAAGAGAGAGGAGAAAGAGAGAGAGAGAGAGTTAAACCTCAAAAAGATGATAGCTTCAATAGGTCATGTTTGCTTGAAACTAGCAACAGGAATTTCAACGTCGAGGTTAATTGCCTCAAGACAAACATCGAGACACATTATTATAATAAAAACCTTGATATCCTGTTGTCAGTATCATCCAATATCAGTAGTAATGATTCAAGTCAATGACAAGAATAACCATCAAAAGGAAATAATTGATGTTAACCAAACGTTTTGTAAACATGATCCCTTCTCGAAGAGTTGCTCCAGTAAACATGGCCGCTTGATTGGTTAACATTAAACTAATTATATTGGTTTGACTCACCTGTTTTGGCTTCATTGTTTGGTTAGACACATCGATACAATGTATAAATGTTAGACAGTAGAAAGACAAACTAATAGTTCCACAACTTAATGATCCATTTTGATGATGGTCAAAAACAGAGTGATGTCATTTATGTTGGAAAGAAAACGTAATAAGATTATCCAATCACATGCGAGTAAACTGGAAGCTTCAATCTTTCATCTGTTCAATTTCATTTCATTTTTCTCATGCCAATTTGTATCTGAGAATTTGTATCTGAGAATTTGTACAGCTCATTAAATGAGCCATTTTTGTTTGGAAAATTTGGTGACATGAACCAAATTAATTTTAACGATGATTTTATCATCTTAATCGATAGAAGCCAATGTATCAATTTACATGTAATACTATGGCAAGACAAGGGACGATATATTAATGTAATAATGCACATTAAATGTATTTTGTATCACGACTTTTTGTTTACTGCTGTTTTTCGATCAAACAGCCTCAATATCAAAGAGTAAAGAAGAAGA